CACACACACACACACACACACACACACATACACACTCAACTCCACCCACCCACACACACCCTTGCGGACACATTCACATAGACGCACACTCATATACACTTGTGGGCATGTGGCGTCCGGGAGTCGTGGAGGCTGAAGCGGTCGGAGATGGAGGCGGCAGAAGTGAGCTTAAAAATTCCCACAGGCGTCATCAGGCGACAGTGGCTGGGCCGAATGCCCGCGAGTTGAGTACAATTCCAGGCAAAGTCAATGTACAAGTGTCCACTACAGGTCCGGCCTTCATACAGCCACGAGACCCGGCAGACATGTCAACTCACAGTCGTCTAGTTGGTCCAGTCGCACAGGCATAATCACACACACACACACACACAGAGAGACACATACAGACACACAAATGGGCATACGCTCTGGCTAGAGACGAGTAGAAGCATGCCAAAAGTGAGAGACTCGCATTGGCAGCGCTGGTGAGGAGGGCAAACGCCTGCGTGGAATGTAACCGATCCAGTCGACGCTGTCGTCCGGACGAGGGGCAGGCGAGAGGGTACAGAAGGGTACGAAGGGAGCCACGACTCTGATGCATGCACGTCTGCCAAAAGGGCCTGAAGCGATGCCCCCAAAGGAGGGGTAGACACTGCGACGCGGCTCTACCAGACCGGGCAACTGTGCTCAAGTCGGCCAGGCAGCGGTGAGTCTGCCGGCTTAAGCCTGACCCGCAGACAGAGGCTGGCCTCCATAGGCGGTAGAACGAGGCAACGACACACGTACAGGCGCTGTGATCTGGCCTTCAGTCGGTGCCAAAGCCGGAACTAATCACAGAGACGCAATTCGCCAGCATAGAACTTTTGAGCCGGGCCCAGAAGAGCGTTTGTGTGTATGAATGTGTGTGTGTGTGTGTTGTTGTGTTTGATAAGTTTAGACGAAGGAAGAGGTAGCGGGCAACCGATTGGCTCGAAATGGGCATACCCACGCCCTGTACACCGTCAATCACACACATGCATGGCCCACCCGCATGCACAAGTCTCACCATCAGGTCTGACACAGCTGACTTCCCGAGTCCTCATAGGCTTAGGACGACTTGAATACTGCCCGAAATTCCCATTTGCTCAGGCGACAATTAATCAACCCTCCTTTAGTTAGACAACTATCAAAGGTTGGGGCTTCGTTTTATCCCACTCTCCTGCAGTCCAGGCCCAGACGACTGGACGCATCAATCAATAAATAAAGCTAGGCAACTATCAGTCTTTTGGACTATTAATCTGTCCTTCTGCCAAATTGTTCATCTATCAGTCTCGTTGGGCTGCTAACATCTCCTTTTATGCATGCCTCATTGTGAGACCCTGTCATCACGGCGAAGACGCACCATTGGTCGATTGGTGCTGTGGCCACACCCGAGGCTGGGCCGACGAGAGGAGAGCATACACCATACATACCCTTTGAATGCACATGGCTTACTCGGCCACCCTCCTGGCCTCGAAACACACCAACCTTCAATCTGTTAGCCTCTCCTATACAGCAATTTACCCCTTTCTCTTCGCCAATGTCCTCTCAGTGCAAGTAGCAGTTGTGTGTATGCAGAAAAGCTGGGTTTCCAAGACGGCCGAGTGATTTATTGTGACATGCCTTTTCAGTTCGAAGGAAAAGTCGACTGAAAAGAAGTCGTCAAGCGGCAGCACCGGAAACCGAAGAAGAATTGCCATAGAATGAAGTGAAAATGGATGAAATATGCAAACAAGTCGTCAACTCACCATCTTGCGACCCCGATGAACCCGTGCCATGCCTACTTTCGTCCGTCTCAACGTGACATACGAACGGCACTGGACACTGCGAAAAAGCTATCATTTACGAAGAAATACAATAAGCAATCAATCACATTTACTTCTTATATCAAACTTGATTGGTCTCGAGTCTGGTACTCTCAAACGTCATACGCAATGCCATTAAACTAAATATACGTGAAACGTGCAGGATCAATGGTTGGTTCATTTGGCTTCCGGTGCGACGGATTCACGACTTCCCTCCAACCAACCAACTTCTCCTTCGAGCTGAAACTTCATATCGCCATAGAGGCAATAGGCAATCTTTAAATCTAGTACAGGAGCTCAATTCGCCCTATTTGTTTCTAAGATGATTGAGGACTTGCTGTTGTATCTTCCCACAACAATATGAGTGGGAATTGTGTTTATGATGAATTTCACACAGCTGTACTTCCCACAAGGCGTTCGCATCCAGTTGAAGTGGACTGTAGTTTCGACCTTGCCCAAACTGGTCTCATTGGCACCACCAGCAAGAGTCTAACCCCGATAGTGTAGCTTACAGTACTGATATGTCAACCGCTAAATCATACTGCCACAAGTGCCCTTGGGTCGAAGTGAATGTCACGAAAACCTAGGCCTTTCCTACATCACACTTTGTGGTACGATTGTTGACACAGCAAATTTGTATTTACTATATCATTTGACTACATTATTAATTTTTGTTTCATAAATAGATTGTAAAGACTACCAGTAGATCTGATATAAGAAGTGTATTCATGCTATTTCGTTTACATGATGATTTAAATTGGTTCAACCTCTGTTTCATAACTTTCCCTTGGTGTCAGGTAAACTCCGAGGCGACTACTCCGTAGTGCAGCTTCCGGCATTGTAGTCATTACTTCTTCCAACATCAGGCAGCTGATTGGCTACATTCGTAGACTTTTCCCCTGCCCCTTAGTCAACAGCTTCAGTCAATGCTTTCACCTTCTCAATGAGACAATAGAAGTCGACCCCTAAACCAACTTTCTGAGAGAGTACCCAGTCAACAGTTCTATACCGAAGGGAGGCATGACAACAATTGTACATGTAGTAATATGCGATGCATTCTTCGAATTCGCCCTGAAACCACAACCAAGTTGCGAAAATGAGACAAACCAAGTCTAAACAGCGAAAGGAGATGGCGACCAAACTACATGTTACATCATCTTGATCCTCATATATGTGATCACTATATTCTATCATACGCTGCATGAATGTGCCAATCTATCGTTTTTTTCCAGACTTTAAGTCCCATAATAGGTATTATCAGCCAAGACAAAGCATTGATCTTATCTCATTCAAGAGTTAATATATTACCATACCAGGCATTCAGCTATTAATCTACCAATCTGGCAAGTTATCACTCTATCCAAATATTTATAAAACGACAATCTACAGATCTGTCTGCCTCTCCACGTACCAACAGTAATCAGTCTATCCCCTAACTGCCAGTTGATAAAATGGCATATTATCCATTCGTTGACCTGCCAAGCTTTTACTCGTTCAATCAGCACTAATCTATACAGCTAACTATGTCTCCTCAACATTTATTCCATATTGCAATAACTATGCCTTCGTATATTGCGCTACCACCCCACAAACATATTTCCCACTCTAATTACACTTTATTTTATAAAAGACCACCCTTGTATCGTAGCATCCCACTCTCTGTCAATCCCTCAGTCCAACTATCCTTTAAGGTTATTAACTGATTAGCAAATATATCAATTCATCCAGATATCACGCTTCCTGCACATTCGCACCATCGCTCTGCTATTCCTGTCTATCCATCCATCAGTCTACATATTGTTTATATGTATGGTTTCGTCATGCTATCGTTACTTCCATCATTCCAACTATATCACCCAATTACAAAATCCATAAGCTAATCGACTTAATGTTAGGCTAAGCTAGTGCTGCGTTGACTTATTTCCATTCAATCTATGACTCAATCGCCTAATGCTTTGAGAACATTTTGCCCATCCCAGCCTATGGATTGCTTGCTCATTAGCCGCTGTCTTATTAACTCATGGTCAATTAAGTTCGATCATGATTGGCAAGCTGTTCTCGGTCTGATCTACTTGCATTTTCTAGAATTTCGCCTCAGATTTTTCAGCTTTTATCTTGGCACATCGACTCCTTTTATTAAGTTGGTTTCGAAAGTTACGAATGTCAGTATTTAGAAAAATAATTTTGTTGATAAGAAGTATCTTTATATCATCCATGTTTGTGTATTGGAGATGGGCGGTATTCTGACACCAAAATGTTTGGCGCTTGTCTGAAAACATGAAAGTCGATTTTTTATATCCACTTAGCACTACTTTTGTTACGCCGTTTGGTTGCAAGGGGCTGTGGAGTTATCAAGAATGCGA